CCCTCCCCCCCCGCTCTCCTCCGCCCGTTGTTGCGGGGGGGGCGGCGGTGGGGCGGCGGCGGCGGCGGTTCCGGAGGGGGCGTTGGGGGCGGCCTGCGGGGGGGTCCCGACCGCGGCGACCGCGGCGGCGGCGGCGGAGGCGGCGGCGGCGGCTTCGTGCCCGGGGGGGGGCGGCGATGGGAAGCGGAATCCGAAAGCGGAGGAACCCGGGGGGGGCTGCGTTTGGGCCGGAGGAGGCGGCGGAGGCGGAGGAGGCGGCGGAGGCGGCTGCTGCTGCGGGGGCTGCGGTTGAGGAGGCGGCGGAGGCGGCGGAGGAGGCGGCGGAGGAGGCGGCAGCGCGGCGAACGGATAAGCGGCGGCCGCCATGGGGCCGAGGAGGGCGGCCGAGGGTTGAGGAGGCCCCGAGAGGCCGAGGGCCGGAGGGGGAAAGCCGGGTTTGGGCGGCGGAGGCGGAGGAGGCGGCGGCGGGTGGAGCTTGCCCAGCGGCGTGGCGTTCGCTCCGGTCGCCATAGAGCGCTCCGCGCCGCCCGAGGAGGGCTTCGCGAAGCTTCCACGCCGCCGCGCCGCGAAGCGCGCGTCGATTGGTCGGCCGGCTCGCCCGTCAAAGGGGTGCGGGCGGCGGATTGGGGGAAGAGGGTGGCTGTCAAGGAGGTGAGGCGGCGGATTGGTCGGAGGGAGGGGCGGGGGGCGGGGCCGTGCGCTGAGGTGGTGAGCGCGGGGATTGGACGGGAGGTGGGAGTGGGAGGGGCTGAGCGCTGAGGTAAGGAGGGCGGCGATTGGTCGGTGGGCGGGGCTGAGCGCGGAGGAGAGGAGAACGGCGGTTAGCCGAGCAGAACGTTGGTCGGACAGAGGGAGGCGCGGATTGGTGGAAGGCGGAGGGCGGGCCCTGCGGGGAAGGGAGAGCAGGGATTGGTTGGTGCGAGGAGGGGAAGTGCAAAGGTCGCGAGGACACCGATTGGAGGAGAGGAACGTCAGTCGGAAAGAAAGCGGAGCGGATTGGAGGAGGGTCGGAGGGCGGGCACTGACGAGAGCGGCGGAGCGGAGATTGGCCGAGCGGCATGTCGATCAAAAGCAGCCCTTCGCTGATTGGTTGCAGGCGGAGGGCGGGCCTCGATGAAGGGGCCGAGAGTTTAAATAACGAGAGCGGCGATTGCCGGAGCGGAACATCGATCAGGTGGAGGATTGGTGGGATTGCGGTGTGGGCGGGATTTGGAGGGGGCCGCTGGTTGAGCCAAGTGTCGCTCACACGGAGGGCGGCGCGGATTACCGGAGAACGAGCACCGGTGAGGGAAGAGGAGCGCAGGGATTGGCTGGCAGACGCGTCGCTCAGGAGGAGAGCGGCGCGGTTTGGCGGAGAGCGGAGGGTAGGCCCCGAGTTGGGGAGGGCTAAGCGTTGGCGGGAGGAAAGAGATTGGATTGGCTGAACGACACATCAATCAGCGAGAGAGTGGCACGGATTGGTGGAGAGCGAGCGTCAGGGGGAGGGAATTAGCGCTGAGGTGGAAACCGCTGCAATTGGCTGAGAGAAACGCCGATCAAAAGGAAGGCGGAGCGGATTGGTGGAAGGCGGAGGGCGGGCTTCGAGGGGCGCGGGAATTGGCCGAGCGCGTCTCCATCCTGCGGAGCGCTGGCGGTGACGTCACGCGGGGGCCGAGCCCCCATTGGATGCTGGGGGCGGTTGCGCCGCGCGCAGCATTGTGGGAATAAAGGACGAGCGGGAAAAAAAAAAAACTCTGTTTATTGGATGCGGGGGGTCACGTGGCGGGGGCGGGGCTGAACGTAGAGGTCAGACGGAGGATACGAACGCGGGGACGGAGTCACGTGAGGGGAAGCACGTGGGGGTGGGCGGGGGGGGGGGGGGGGGGGGGGGGGGGGGGGGGGGGGGGGGGGGGGGGGGGGGGTCTGACAGGCGGTTAAGGCCACGTGGGCACAGGAAACGGGCACGTGTGGCAGCACAACCGGACACGTGGGGCACGCGTGGGGGATGGGGGTGGGAAAGGGGAAGGACGGCGGACCCACCACACCTCTAAGGCCACGTGGAAGGAAAAACACGTGTGTGGCACACGTGGGTGCGGCGGAACGTGCGTTCGGGGAAACCCAGCGAACGTTTCAGTCCACGTACGCGTGCGGGATGGGGGAGGGAGGGGGGGCAACATCCCCTTCGGGCCGCACGGCGAGCCCCAGCCACGCTCAGGACCTCCCCCTTACGTCCCTTTCCGTGCCCGCCGCAGGAAGGCGACGGAGTAAGCCCCTCCCGGAGCGCGGTTGCGGCGCGGCTGCACCTGGGACTGCGCGGTGAGCTGCAGTTTGATGGCGCTGGAATTGAGGCGGGGGGCGCGCAGCAGCTCCTGCATCCCGCGCATCTTCTGACTGCGAAACGCCAGCGCCAACCCGGGGGCTCCCGAAGCTCCGCCCCCCGCGGCAGTGGCCCCGCCCCTTTGCTCAGACGCCCCGCCCCCTTGCTCAGAGGACACGCAGCCTTGCGACGAAGCCCCGCCCCCCTGTCCGGAGGCCCCGCCCCCTTGCGCTGAGCCCTCGCTGGCTCCCGAAGCCCCGCCCTCTTGGTCGGAAGCCCCGCCCCCTTGCTGCCCCGAAGCCACGCCCCCCTGCGACTCGGCGGAAGGGGAAGGGGCGGGGCGACGCGCGGGGGGCGGGCGCTTGGCGGGGGGCGGAGCTTCCGGCCGGGATTCGCGGCGCGGGGGGCGGCGCCGACCCTCACGTGACTCCTCCCCTCCGGCGGCTCCGCCCCCTTCCTCGGCGTCGTCCGCGGGGGCGGGGTCACGTGGCGCCAATCGGAGCTGCTGGCGCACCTGAGGGGCGGGGCCACGGCGTCAGGGGGCGGGGCCACGTCGAGGGGCGGGGCCAAGGGAAAGGTGGGACCCTGAAAACCCAACCCCCCCCCC